AAACTCTTCAATTCTTCAAAGGTTTGACGCTTCCACTGGTAACGACCGAAATGGGCGACAAATTCGGCAAATCGGCCGGCAACGCCATCTGGCTCTCCGAAGACAAAACCTCCTTCTTCACCTTTTACCAGTTCTGGATGCGGCAACCCGACTCCGAAGTCGAAAAATTCCTGAAACTCTTCACCTTCGACACGGTAGGCAGCATTTCCGATCTGATGCGGCGGCACCGTGAACAACCCGAACTGCGATTGCCGCAAAGGCGGCTGGCCGAACAAGTGACGCTCTTAGTGCACGGTGAGGAGGGATTGAGAAAGGCGCAGCAGGCGAGCGAGGCTCTCTACGAGGGGAGTGTATCGGCGATGGGCCAGATGCACGCCGAGGACGTCGCTAGGTTGTTCGAGGGGGCGACGGTCGTCGAGGTGCTGCCAGAGGCCGGTCAGAGCGTGCTCGATTTAGCCATGAAGGTTGGGTGTTTTCCGACGATACGTAAGTATTTGCAAACAATAAATATTTTTGACAACCGAGTGAGGCCCTCTACGAGGGGAGTGTATCGGCGATGGGCCAGATGCACGCCGAGGACGTCGCTAGGTTGTTTGAGGCAGCGACGGTCGTCGAGGTGCTGCCCAAGGCTGGTCAGAGCTTGCCCGATTTAACGATGAAGGTTGGGTGTTTCCGACGATACGTTAGTATTTGCAGAGTATATCTGGAAAGCAATATTGTGATTTAAAAAAAAAAATTGAAGGAATATTTTCGGCTCCTTCACCTTTCTGCTGACGTCATTGGTGAACTGTCATGTTCAGACAGAGCTTATACGCGATTTTGCTAGCGCGACTGCGATGGTGCCATTTCTATTTATATGTTTGGACAGTTTGGGTATCAAGAAATTCTGTATATCCATTGACTACTTATATGGAATGATATTTGTAATTTGATTTCCTGATTCCGGCACATTGTATTTTAATGTAGTTATAGTGCGTGCTTTCCGCAAATGTAGGTTGATTGTACCTTTCCTCAGGTTATTCTAATCATTCAGGTTGGGAGAGTAGGGTATCAGAGTTGAGCAAGCCAATGTAAGTTCAGTTTATTGTACCAGTATTTCACCTGAAGAACCTACTGTGTTAGCGAAATATGTTGTGTGATAAAGAATTTTTGTGGAAATCTTATAGTTTGCGAAGTTTTCTTCATTTACTATGGATTTCCATCAAGTATAACGGCCGAGTCAATTCAAAATTTCCTGATTAGTCGAAAAGTATTTACCAAATCATTTATGGACGCCTTATGAAATGACTAATCAAGGCGAAACATAGATATACAGGGTGTGTTATAAGCCATGGATTAAAAGAAGTGATGTGGTACGGAGGTCATTCGCAATCAAACTAACGGTATACGTTAGGATTATTATTATCTCTTGGATCGCACGAAAGGAAATGTTCGTGGAACATCGTGCTTACCTCTAATTTCCTTTTTCTTTTTTTCAATTCATTAATTTTTCAGGCTATATACTCTTAATCATTATGAGTAAGTCTTCTAAAAGTTCTGAACAAGTGGAACAAAGTTATGTCAGCTGTTGCCAATTTGAGATATTGAAATTCATGTTATTATAAGATGGTTATAAGCGTTATGAGTAATTTTTTATTTGAATGATTCCATTTTGACTTTTGAAGAACTGCTTTTCATTAATGTTTCTCCTTCTGTTTGAGTTATATAAATAGTTTTGCATGGAATCTAGTATGTTTTTTATTTTAAAAAGTTTATGAAAAGTATATTAATTCAAAATTTTCACTTCAATTTCTGTCAGAGAATGTGTTTTTTATTAATTTAGTGAAACTATAACAAAACATTATTTCCCTATGTTTAATCTGATTCTTTTGAAGTGATACTTTCACTGTTGATCTGACCATTATTTCATTGTGATCTCATTTATTTCTTTCAGAGGATGCTGTTAGAATTATTTCAGCAGGAGGATTTTACATCAATCAACAAAGGACCAGTAATACAAATGAAGTGTTGAACATGAGCATACATAGACTTGAAAACAATGTCACCTTACTTAGAGTAGGGAAAAGGAATTATTATATTGTCAAATGGTTGGCTTAGCATGCAGTTCTAAAATATTTATTGTAACATGAAATGTGATAAGATCGAACCTGTATCATATTAATAAAATAACTAAGATTATAGTTTTTTAAACACTAAGCATTATTTCCTGGAAAACACTGCCAATTGTTGATACCAAAGCACTGATGTGATCAACGTGTATTTGGGAACGATTTGCCAGATCACTGCATATAGTATCTACATCAAAACTGTGATTGTATGAAGTATTTTTGAATACATACACTAATATTCCAATAGGTAAGTAGAACCTGCATGTCATTACCTTTTTAAATATCTGAAAGCCTTCATCACTCATAGTATACATGTTTTTGAGTTCATTGAACCACTGTTTCTTTGTTAAATATAACATTTCCAGTACATCTAAACATAATAGAGTTATTGAAGCTTTGATTTTACATTCCCTTTCAAACTGTACAATGAAGGTATTCAAATCATCCACATCATTTTGGATGGGTAAGTTATTTCCTAGTTCATTCAAAAATTCAACTTCAGATTGTCTAATCTTCTTGGAGCTATACTGTTGACCTGTAATTTTTTTCAAAATTGCTTCAATACCAGTAATTTTCAGATCTTGATCTCCTATATACTTGCTGGATATGAAAATGGCCACTACAGTCGAAAGAGCAGAATCTTGTATTTCTTCTGCTTTTTTAGCTTTTCTGATTATATACTCCTGCAGAATATTCACAGCGTAAATGAAAACATGGACATCTTGTTTGAGCATGTTACATATTTCTTTCATGAGGATGGTGCACCTTTCATCTAATACTGGTTCAACGTAACTTGTTTCATTATCTTGCATTTCGATCAACCACTCGCTCAATAACTCAGATTCAAACTGATTGAAACTCATATTTTGATATGAATTACGACGTTCTGTGTTCGAAAGCTTCCAAAATGTTAATTTCTAGAATAATTCATCATTTCAAATAGCATAAAAACAACTCATCTTCAACTATTAAGAGGTGGCAGCTATGGGAATGGAGGATTTCCTTACCAGTTTTACCAACTCATTAAACAAGCATTCATATTTACATGAATTACGTACGGGCAACCAAGGTTGGTAGATTTGATCAATTCTATCAACCTTGCAGGGTGTTGCAGGCAACCCTCAGAAAGAATTCGTTTTGTATAAATATCTGTGGAAACCAATGATGAGGGCCTGGATGAGGGCTAGATGAGGGCTATAGAGATATTTATACAAGGTAATCCAAATTGAGCGTCCGCAGCCAATGGTGTATATTTATTCATTCATTATATAAAATATACAAAATTATTTAAACCAACAAATAACTACCTAACAGTATTTTTGAATAGAAGACAATTCTTTGATTTTTTTTGTTAAGCTTGAAGTTCAAACAGGAAAAAGTAGGCAGTGAAGATTTGGTCCAAACTCGAAAAGGCGATGGTCGATTGTTTTTTTCATTCTTCCATACCCTACCTATCCAATAAACATATGTATGGAACACTAAAACTTTACATAATTCAAGAAACATAGGAAAGTATCATATACAGGGTGTCCCTCCGGGAACTGCATCGATATAGAAATAGAATATAGAAAACGATAGGTGGGCCAAATTTGAAAATTTGGGAGTTCACTATTGTTGATAAGTGCTATCCGACTAAAATATTTTGGAGATTGTGGCACCCCCGGTTTGTACAAACGATAAGATTTCCACAACAATTTTTTTAAACACAACGACATGTTTCGCTAACACAGTATAGCTTCGTCAGGTGGTACAATTGTACCAGTATATCACCTGACGAAGCTACTGTGTTAGCGAAACATGTCGTGTGTTTAAAAACATTTTTGTGGAAATCTTATCGTTTGTGAAGTTTTTACATTTATCATGGATTTCCATCAAGTAACGGCCGAGTCAATTAAAAAAAAAACATATTGGGTGTTCGGAAATACGCTGGTAGATGTATATAAGAATAATTTGGGATGTCCAAGAGTGATTCAGGACGCGTGTTACTGGGTGATCGTTGTACCCCTGCCTTCCTGATGATGTTCTATACCCCTTTAAGGTGAATTTCATATATATTACACGATTAGTAGGTGCATCAGATGACTCGAACTATATTAAAAGAAATGCTCATCTATTAATCCAGCCCTCAACTTTCTTAGTCAACAAGTCTTTATCTAGTGGAATCATTCCCGAATTTTTCAAAACATCAGTCGTCATACCAGTCTTCAAAAAAGACAGTAAATTAGACATCAACAATTATAGGGGCATTTCACTATTACCTCTAGTTTTTCAAAACTCATTGAATGGATTGTGAATCTTCAACTATTGAAGTACCTTGGGCAACATATAATATACTTCCACATATTCACAGTTCGGCTTCCGGCAAAACCTGAATACTACCGACAGTACCGACGCATCTTCTGCTCTACTAGAACACGTAAATGAATTATTAGAATCCAAAAAATATGCATTGGGGATCTTTTGCGACTTGTATAAAGCATTTGATTGCGTCGACCACTGTATTCTTTTGAATAAATTGGAGTATTATGGTATACGGGGTATGCCTAATAAATGGTTTGATACTTATCTGAATGACAGGAGAATGCGGGTGAGAATTGATCACATATCTAATAAATATTTAACTAATTCATACTCTGAAATGGCAAACGTGAAAAGTGGTGTCCCCCAAGGATCTATCTTGGCTTCACCCTGTTTCTGATATATGTCAATGGTATATTGTATGTTACTTTCCCGATGTGTCATTTTCTCTGTTTGCCGACGATACTAGCATTGTTGTCCATGAATCCGAAATACAACCTCTATTAGACTTCTCGCAAAGAACTGTGAATGGTTTATTAGACTGGTTTGTAGTAAATAAGTTATCACTCAATATAAAGAAAACTCAATGCATATCTTATTCAATCCGTATAGAGATTTACAACATCTTCAAAGTTTCTTGGACTTACTATTGATAGCGATTTGAAATGGTCAGAACATATAAACCAGTTGAATACGAGATTGAGCAAAGCTATATTCGCTATACGAACCATCCGAGTGAATTCTAGTATTGAAGTAGCGAAAACAGTCTATTACGCCTATTTCCACAGTCTTCTGCAGTTTGGTGTTGAGTTTTGGGGCATTTCAGTTGAATCAACATCTACCTTTATTATACAAAAACGTGCAATTAGAGCAATATTTGGTCTGAGGTACACAGAATCGTGCAGCAATTATTTCGCGAACTAAAAAATATTCACTTCAGCCACTTCACATATATACAAAGTTTAACTTTTAATCCATAAAAACAGAGGCTCTTCGCTGCGTCCTGCGAACGTGCATGAACTAGAGACCAGTCTATAGTCTTACCAAACTACCGCTACAATAGATCCCGCAAGGGTCCCCTATACACTGGCATAAAGATATACACTCACCGGCAAAAAAATCCGGCCACCAAATAATTTATCCAAATTGTTTGCTCTGTAACTTTTTCAATTCTGGTCCGATTTTAGTGAAATTTCGACCAAATCGTAGATTCATGTTTCTTCATGTTTGCCTGGATATTAGTTCCTAAGAAAATTTGATGACCCGATCATTATACAGGAAAAAACGAAATTAACTTTTTCACCCTTAACTTCGCTTAACGCCCTGTGGGAGCGGTGAGTAGTTTAACTCAGCTTCATTATATTTTAGATTGAACAGTGATCTCTTCTCTACATGATGGTTTTTTATTCACGTCGATAACCACTTTTCAAAGGAAGATACAAGTGTTTCAAGAGAGTATGGATTTTTGAAATTTTTATTTACAATAATTCAGAACCATTCTCCAACCTTCTGCTTCAATGCTTCATCATCTTTTAAATTGAAGTGTGATCCTCCTTGTACCCTCTTCATACAACGGTTCTTGAATAACGCCAATATCTCCTTTTTGAGAGAAGAAACAGGTGTTCCAAGAAAGTATGGATGTTTTAAATTTTCAATGACAATAATTCAGAACCTATCTACCTATCTTAGGGGTGACCTCCAGAGGCTCATTCGCCTTCGCCCAGCCTTGTCAGATACTCTTCAAGAGCTACGATTCGTCCTTCAAGGAGGATTTATGGCAATTTTGCAAGGCTACTTGAGTAATTTGATCAATTTGATGCCACTGCGGTTGAATGCTGTAATTCAATATCGAGGAGAGCATAATCGTTATTGACTACAGGCCTGCTTCATGTTTGTTTTTTGTAATTGATTTTCCGGTAAGTGCTAAGAAAGTGGGGTAGAAATATGTGATATTAATTCTTGGAGTTGTTATTCAATAGGTAAGTTCATGTAAGTTCTGATTATTGGTAAAAAAAGTTGAAAAACACCACACTTCCTTAAAACACTCCTATCTTCTTTTAAAAATGAGATATTAACGTGAATCAAAAACTTTCGTGTTAAGAAGGGATCACAGTTCAATCCGAAGCATAATGAAGCCATGTTCGATCACGCAATTTTGCCACAGGGCGTTGATAAGTATAGAGTGAAAGAGTAACTTTGGTTTTTCCCTGTATAATGATCAAGTCATCAGATTTTCAGGAAAACTAATATTCAGACTGACATTCCGGAACATGAATCTACGATTTGATCGAAATTTTACAAAAATAGGACTAGGATTGAAAAAGTTACAGGCTGAACAATTTGGGCAGATTTTTTGGTGGCCGGTTCATTTTGCCGGTGAGTGTACAATCACCTTCCTCATGCACTGAAAACATACTCAAACTCAAAATTCAAAATCACACTGAAAAAATAACTACATCAACATGTATTTTATAATCTGGAGAAATTCTTTAGTTCAAATTTATATACGATAGAACGACGTTCTAGTCATGCTGTTACTGAGTTCACCATTATTCTTTATCGATATTTTTCTATTCCTGTCTGTTGTTGATCTTATATATATTCAAAATACCTGTTACACGTCACGTTTTCTTTCCCTAAGCTCTATGCATATATGATATGATACATCATTGATATCATGTTTAAATCTGAAATCTGTGATAGCTGTGACCTACCGCATTATATTATAGAATATGTATCTTTGGGAAATAAATATCTATCTATCTATCTATCTAGGTTCGTCTTACATTATTTTCCTGGCAGACTGACAGTTGTATTAGATATGGGTAGTTAGTGCAGTTTCCTTTGACGCATGTAGCAGCTACATCATTTCACTCACTAGTACCTATTTATTCAGTAAAAAAAATTATAAAAACAACCCATACTGTCGCAATTTACTGCCTATTAGCGACAGCAGAATACCTTCCTATGGCAGAAAATGCACCTACAGTAAAATCATTATTTTATTTATTTTATTTTTTTATTTTAGCGGTACACCATTTCAACAGCCGAGGCCAAGTACAGAATGGGAAAATAACAATTTTGGTCGCTGTTATAGGAGACCTTTTCGTTCGTATTGCTGAACTTGCTATACACCAACTCAAAATTGTGTAAGACCACGAAACTATATGCAAACTGGCACCAGTGGCCAACAAAATCAAACATTTCCAACAGGCCCCATCAACCTTAAACCTAAACAGAATAGTTTCCAACGATTTCCAACAAACAAACAGATTTTTGGAACCCTGAAAAATGTACGGAAACCAAATCCAAATGCGAATATAAACCATCCAAAACCTACCCCAAAGAGTACAACATCCCAGCAACCTACGGTTAATTTCAAACCCAATCAATCAAATCAAAGATGGCATACAGAACAATTAAATGATACTGACAATTTGATGTACCCATTAACGAGGAATATACCGATTATTGTCAACAAAGAAGCGTTGAATACGATACAGAAAATTGTTTCGGATTCGCAGAAACGCCCACGTATGAAAATAACGACGATTTTCATCCAGGCAGCCATCTGACTGAATCCCAACACGTAATTGAATACCATAGTTCATTCGATATAAAGGCAACTACCTTACATCTTAATTATTGACGAACCTCCTCTCAAA